TTGCAGACGAAAGAATAGATTGATTAGTGGAACATCAAGACCATTAAAAAGGAGACAGAGGAAGTTGTTAACATTTTCAGAATAAAGAATTTGGAAGTAAATCAGCAGGAGTATAATGAGCCATGAAGTCAACTAGCTCCCTCACTGGTGCTTGAAAAGGAGTGCTACTGCCACCGTCAGGTAGGAATCAGTGGAGTGCAACTGCATCACCACTGGATCCACCCTTCCTCACAAGAAATGTAAGATCATTTACTCCAGCTTGCTTGGAAAAAAGCTTTGAAGTCATCAAATATAAAAGCAGTCTACTTATGGACAAAGCAGATAAGAAAAAGGAGGCGTCCAGAAATCCAGTGAGGACGAGGAAATAATTAAACTTATTAGTTTTTTTCTGATTCAGTTTTTCTCCTTACATGGCCTCCATGAGATTCATTTGCAATACTTCTAATTGCTTACCTGTCCCAGAGGATAAGTATAAAAAAAAACCAAACAAAAACACAGCCAGCCTTTTAAACTTTGGTGTGTATCCCTATCTAAGAACATTAATAAAACTATTTAAGTCAGATTACTTATAAAATCATAGAAAATTAGGGTTGGAAGGGACTTAAGAGGAAGGGCTGTCCTGAGCAGGCACAGGCAGCCCCACATGGGCTGCAAGCGGCTGCAGTGTGGGGCGCTGGCCACGGGGCGGGCGAGGGGCTGCTTTTCCCGCACTCAGCACCAGCTTGTAACCTGTCCCCGCTGCCAGCCTGGGCCCTGCACCAGCTCTGGGCTCACCCATCAGGGCTGCGCCACAGTGGCAGCAGCTGCTCAGCAGTGTTTGCCACCACCACCTCTGCTGCCCAGCGCATGAGCTCTAGGTGGGCAGCAAACACTGCCTGGCACGGCAAGCAGGGTCATTTTTGACAGGAAACAAGGACAGATGAATATTAATTTTCTAAATTTTTAGGGGCCCCGCCGATAAAATGGCCTCACAGGCCATATCGGGGCCATATTTTTCCCACCCCTGATCTAGCTCCATCCTTCAGTGGGGTTTGAAAGGCTGCTATTAAATCCCTTCCGTCTTCTCTTTTCTAAACTGTATAAGCCTTATTCCCTCAGCCTTTTTTCATAAGTCATGTGCCCCAGCACCATCACCATTTTTGTTGCCTTCTGCTGGACTCTCCAGTTTGTCCACATCCTTTCTGCAGTGCGGGGCCCAAAACTGAACACAGTACTCTAGATGTGGCCTTACCAGTTCTAAACAGAGGGAAAGAATCACTTCCCTTCCCTTTTGACAAAACTCGTACCAATGCAGCTCAGTATGCCGTTAGCCTTCTTGGCAACAAGTCCACACTGTTGGCTCATATTCAGCTTACTGTCCACTGTAACCCCCAGATCCTTTTCTGCAGAGCTGCTGCCCAGCCAGTCAGCCTTCAGCCTGTACTGGTGCATGGGATTGTTCCGTCCTAAGTGAAGGACTTTGCATTTGTCCTTGTTGAACCTCATGAGATTTCTTGTGGCCCAATCCTCCAATTTGGCTAGGTTACTCTGTATCCTAGCCCTACCCTCCAGCATGTCTGCTACTCCCCACAACTTGGTGTCATCTGCAAGCTTGCTGAAGGTGTACTCCATGCCATCTTCCAGGTCATTGATGAAAATATTGAGCAACCCCTGAGGTGCTCCACTTCATACCAGCTGCCAGCTAGATAGTGAGCCATTGATTACTACCCTGAGCCCACCGATCCAGCCAGTTTCTTACAGTCCATTCATCCAGCCTGTACTTCCTTAGCTTGCCTGCAAGAATGTTGTAGGAGACTGTATCAAAAGCCTCGCTAAAAATCAAGGTACACCACATCCACTGGTTCCCTACATCCACAGAGCCAGTCATCTCGTTATAGAAGGCATTCAGGTTGGTCAGGTGTGACCAACGAACTTTATACCTAGTAAAAGGCTTTTTGTCAGTATTCGTAGAACAACTCCCAAGTTCTGATTTATCCTCAGTTTTGAGTACTTTTGTTTGTTGGCTAGTTAATTGAATTGCACAGATGGAATTTTGTAAGAAGCTGTTTTATACCAATCCAAGTCCTATTGAGATCTGTATTTGACAGTTTAAACCTTAAATTCTTGCCCTTTATAAACACATTCTTCCAAAGTAATGGTAACTGAAGTTATTCAAACCTTGTACAAAAAATGAACAGTACGAATCAGACCAGTATTTTGAAGCTTAAATTTATGCCTTATTTCATTTAATGTTGTAAAGCATATTTTCAAACAACACGTTCCTATATTGTGATCCCTTGTGGATCCCTGAGAGAAATGGGTAGCTATGTCTGCAGTATACAGTTAAAAAAAAGCTCATTCAACTCATTTTGTCCCAGCAGCAACAGCAACGTTTAGTTCTTTTCTGCCCTCCCCAGACTTAATTTTGGTATATCTGCCAAAATAGATTCAATATAGTACATTACAGGAAACATCAAATTTTAAGCAGCATCTTTTCTTGCTTTTCCTCATCTTGTGCCCTCCTCCAATTACCCATTCCCATCTGTACTTATCTGTGTGATGTAACTCTAGTGGTCAAATTTAGTTGCATTTGAACCCAGAATTTGTATTTTGTATACGTTCCCTATAATCTATTTAGAAAGCTTTTGTGGGGGGAGGAGCAGTCGTTTTCTATCATCAGTTCCTTCTGTCTGTTCTCTGCACTCTT